TTCTGGCTTTTTTTTTTTTTTTTTTTTTTTTGTCTTTCCAGTCCCATCCCCCAAGGCCTCTAGAGCGCCTTGGGATTCAAATGTAGATGAAATGCAGATTCTTGGAAGAATGGAAGAAGCCACCCGTTTGGCTGTGCAGTGGGGGAAGAAGAGCATCTTAAATGGAAGACTTGAGTCATTGCCTAAGACCAGCCATGGCTGCGATTCCAGATCTGAAGAGTCTTACCGTGGATTGTACTGGTGTCGATGGTCAGTTATCGTGGTATATTTGGAAAAGAAGTCAACTGGATTATTTTGGTCTCCACCACCAGCTCAGCCCAGGTAAGAGGGTTGACGTTTATTGTTGGTACATGTGTACTGTTACGTGTTGTTGGCCACTTCTGTATCTGTTAAAGATTTATATGTCTTACTAGTACATAAAATGGTGCTGTATTTTTGGTCCAATCTCCCGGATGTGTTTAGGGGATTGATTTCAGTTTTCTTCTCCATCCACTGAGAAAGTCATTTCGCAGCACCCACACACGTGGTCATGGTAACTACTGTAAAACTTCCCCGTTTTATAAAGACGGCATAAATGCAAAGCCATTAAACAATTTTGGACATGTTTACTTCTGTTATGAGCACTGATAAAATGTTGTTTGTGTGAAAGAGTGAGGGGAGAAAGTAGAATCCGCCTAAAAGCAAGACAAAATGAACTAATGAGGTTAAAAAGATGCAGAAGCAAAGGAGCCTTTGATAAAGGAGTAGGTGTTTCTGACCGAGAGCAGAAAGGGGGAGGCAGATGCGGGAAACCAAGCGGATGATTGAAAGCTTGTTTCACTTCACCAATTGGGCACAATCTCCTTTGCCCATCAACGTCAATTATTAGTAGTTGGAACAGCCAGGACTGGGTTTAGGAGAATAGTTTAGTCCTGCCTGGTAACAGAGACTACCCGTGGTTAGTTACTCCCTTGAATGTTCCCGACTAACCATAGATTCATACATGATCCTGATGCTCAAGATTAAAGTTCTACATAAATTGTCTTTTTTTTAAAAAAACAAAACAAAACTATTTTTTATTAACTTCATTTATTTATTTTGTAACTTGACCAGAGAGGGACAGAGTGTGAGAGAGAGATAGAGAAAAGTGAGAAAGCAAGCTGCTAGGTCCGAGACTTGAACCGCGGTCGGCCATGTGAGAGTCCAACGCCCTTTACCACCATGCCATCTGCCAGCCCCATAAATTGACCTTTTTGAGTTATGTTTTTTAGGATATACTTCTCCCCCCACCCCCATCCTCTTTTTTCCCTTCCCCCCCAACCATGGGAAGGATCATCTTTCTCGGTGGTTGTGTATCTCTATTTCTCAATATATCCAGTGGTCTAATTCAGTATCTGAATATGGTCATCATGAATGTCTTTTTCCTCCTTTCTTCCCCTCTCCTTGGCTACAGAGGTCTTACCTCAGACTCTTGGGGGACAATATGTAGCCTTGCAATACCATTTAGCAACTTAAGGGAGTATCTTGTGAGTGCTTGACTTGTTCTGGAGATGACATTAAGGTGGGAAGAAAACAACATTCATATTGTTTTGGTCTATCATTGTATATAGGTATATGTGTGAGATGTATCTGTTCATTTTATACGGAGGATCTCTTTTTCTATCCGTTCTTATTGTTTATTTTGCTTGTGTGTGGGGGTGTGTTGATCACCTGCAAGTATCTGAGCAGTTGCTGTTCATTGCTTTGAGACTGCTCAGATCCCTCCCTTCGACAGAGTGTGAGAGAGAGATAGAGAAAAGTGAGAAAGCAAGCTGCTAGGTCCGAGACTTGAACCGCGGTCGGCCATGTGAGAGTCCAACGCCCTTTACCACCATGCCATCTGCCAGCCCCATAAATTGACCTTTTTGAGTTATGTTTTTTAGGATATACTTCTCCCCCCACCCCCATCCTCTTTTTTCCCTTCCCCCCCAACCATGGGAAGGATCATCTTTCTCGGTGGTTGTGTATCTCTATTTCTCAATATATCCAGTGGTCTAATTCAGTATCTGAATATGGTCATCATGAATGTCTTTTTCCTCCTTTCTTCCCCTCTCCTTGGCTACAGAGGTCTTACCTCAGACTCTTGGGGGACAATATGTAGCCTTGCAATACCATTTAGCAACTTAAGGGAGTATCTTGTGAGTGCTTGACTTGTTCTGGAGATGACATTAAGGTGGGAAGAAAACAACATTCATATTGTTTTGGTCTATCATTGTATATAGGTATATGTGTGAGATGTATCTGTTCATTTTATACGGAGGATCTCTTTTTCTATCCGTTCTTATTGTTTATTTTGCTTGTGTGTGGGGGTGTGTTGATCACCTGCAAGTATCTGAGCAGTTGCTGTTCATTGCTTTGAGACTGCTCAGATCCCTCCCTTCAAGAAGCCTACAACTGAGGTTGAATCCATCTGCCTACAAAGACAATAATCAAACGCAGCAAATAGAGGGGTTGCTTAAAGGAAAGAGGAGCTATTTGAAGGAGGGGGTGTGCATTGCCTGGGCCACCATGGCAAGAGGCAGAGCGCTTGAAGCCTCTTGATAGATTAGGTGAAGGCTTTAAATTGTGGTTCTGGTTGGGACGGCATTGGATAATGGGAAATGGATGGCATTCTTGGGGACATTAAAATTTCAATTCATTGAGTAACCACGTTGTAGGGAGGGAGAGCCAGATTTGAAGTTAGGTCTGGTTGGAGGTCAGGTTCTAGAAGATGGGGGTGTGGATGAAGCGTGTTCAAGCGCAAGCACATCGGGACGAGCTCCGCCGTGGAGCACGCGTGGGAGGGAGTGACCCATGACTCCCTGGAAGTCAGAAAGGCCATGCTTAAGGGATGATGCAGTTGCGAGTTCGAGGTTCAAAAGGGGCACTCCAGGCGGGGGGAGGGGGGTGTCGCAGGTATAGGTACCTGCGTGAAGAGGACGCGATTGCACTAGCAGGACCGAAGGACCCGCGCGTTGTGCTTGTTCCTGGGTTTGAGGAGGGCAGGAACCCCCGCAGAGTCGGTCTGTGAAAAACCCTGTGATCGTCAAAATGTTGTTCGCGGCACAAACGAATTGGGCGTTAGGGAGAAAGCTGGTGGGAGGAACCCGGTAGCTGGAGGTGGGTTAGGAACTAGAGCTGGAACACAAAGCAAGGGGAGACTGGAGGGGACGGGGCTGGGAGACGGGCAGAGCTGGTGAAGGCTTTCGCAGTAGGGACTGGGGGGCATGAGAGACTCCCTGCAATGCCCCATGGGGAAGTGCTGCTGTCTTCGGCGGGAGGCTTCGGAGTTGGTGGCTGTTGGGGCCAGCCGAGCTAGTAAGCCCTGTCCTTCTCTTTCCCCACTGACCGGGACACGTCCAGTTCCCCGCAGGTGTGTCCAGGCAGCTCGCGGTGCGTGCGGGCCGGGCCCACTTCATCCCGGCCAGCCCGCCTCTGTTTTGACCAAGAGGGGCTGTCGTGTTGTCCACACAGTCCCCTCCAAGGGGGATCGCCACTGGCGTCGTAGCGTTAGAACCTAGACCTCCTGGAGTCCAGAGTGGGGCTCCTCTCAGCTCCCCTTTCGAGGAGCTGGACGCTCCAAGAGGAACCCGAAGGCCTGGCGTGGGGGAAGCTGCGGGCAGAGCGGAGACAGCCGCACCCTCGCGCCTCCCTTCGCCGCGCCCGGCTCCCACCCCCGGGCCTGCCGCGGAGCCAGCGTGCCCGCCCGGCGCGC